ATATATATATATATATAGAGAGAGAGAGAGAGAGAGAGAGAGAGAGCGTCCTGGGGTGGCACTGTTTGTTAATGCACTGGACTGCAAAGTAGCTTTGAACTGCAAGGTTGGCGGTTTAAGATCACTAGCTGCTCCTTGGAAACCCCATGCAGGGTCACTATGAGTCAGAATCAACTCTAAGGCACTTAAAAACAAAAACAACATATATATATGAAATCATAGAATAATATCATTAATGTCATTTAGTGGTTACTAATCGGCTGTGATCGGCTGTGAACCGCAAGGTCAGCAGTTTGAAATTACCAGCCATTCTGTGAGAGAAGGATGAGGCTTTCTGCTCCTGTAAAGATTTACAGCCTTGAAAACCCTGTATAGGGTCTCTATGAGTCAGAACCAACTCCATGGCACATAACCACCAATGTAACATGCAAGTAAAATTTTGTTGAAGATGGTTCAAAAATAGCTACAACAATACATCAACAGGGAACTGCCAGAAACTCAAGCTGGATTCAGAACAGGACATGGAAATATGGATATCAATGCTGATGTCAGATGGAACTTACTTGAAAGCAGAGAATATAAAAAAAGATATTTACTTGTGCTTAATTGATTCTGAAAAGACCTTTGACTCTGTGGGTCATGACAAACTGGATAACATTGTGAAAAAATAGGTATTCAAGAACACTTCATTGTGTTCTTGAGGAACCTGTACATAGAACAAGAGGTAGTTGCTTGAATAGAACGTTCTAATGGAATCCTGAGTGGTTTAAAATCACAAAAGTTGTGCAACAGGGTTGTATTATTTTACCACATTTATTCATACTATTGTGTGCCAGCGATATATTCTTTTTACCACATTTCTTTAATCTGGATGCTAAGAAAATAATCTGACAAATTTAAATATATGAAGAAAAGCGTGGCATCAGGATTGGAGGAAGACTCATTAACAACATGTGGTACGCAGACGACAAAACCTTGCTTGCTGGAAGCAAAGAGGACTTAAAACAATTACTGATAAAGATCAAAGACCACAGTCTTAAATATGGCTGTACTCAATGTATAAAAAATATTAAAAATCCTTACCATTGGATCAATAAACAACATGATAAATGGAGAAAAGATTGCATTTGTCAAAGACTTTATTTTTATTGGATCTACTATTAACACTCAGGGAAGCAGCAATCAAGAAATCAAACAACATATTGTGTTAGGCAAATCTGCTGCACAAGACCTCTTAAAGTATTTAAAGTGTTCAAGAGCAAATAAATCAGTTTGAGGACTAACGTGTTCCTGAATCAAGCCACAGTATTTTCAATATTCTTATATACATGTGGGAGATGGACAATGAATGAAGACCTTACAAGAATTTATTCATTTGAGTTATTTTATTTTAGAAGAATACTGAAAGTACTATGGATTGCCAGAAGAGCTGAGAGACGTGCAGCCAGAATGCTCCTTAGAAGCCAGGATGACAAGACTTGGCCTCTCATATTTTGGACTCCTAATACCATTATTAGGAGTCCCTAATAAACCAGTCCCTAGAGCAGGACATTATGTTTGGTAAAGTGGAGGGTCATCAAGAAGAGGAAAATCCCCAATGAGATGGATTGACACAGTGGCAGCAGCCATAGGATCAAGCTTAGCAAAGATTATGAAGATGACACAGGACCTTGTAGTATTTTATTCTGTTGTGTATAAGTTCGCTATGACTCAGAGCCCGCTGGATGGCACCTAACATCAAATAAATATAGATAGTAGGTTGATAGCTAAATTCTTGAAAAGCAGCATGAAGTTTAGAATAATTCTTCAAATATCCTCTGCATACTATTTAACTTTAGGATCTCTGGTGAGATAGTAGGTTATATATTAGACTGTTAGCAGTAAAGTCAGCAGTTTAAATCAACCAGCTTTTCAGGGGGAGAAAGATTAAGCTTTTTGCTCCTTTAAAGATTTACAGCTTCAGAAACCCTATGTTGTTGGTGAGTGTTGTGGAGTAGGTTTCTACTCATAGAGACCCTTTACAGGATTTCTGAGGCTTTAAATCTTTTTGTGGCACCTGATAACCTTATCTTCCTTCCACAGAGCAGCTACTGGGCTCAGTCCTTGGGCACTTTTACTCACGGAAACTCTGCACAAGGTCACTGTGGGTAGGAACCAATTTCACTGAGCACATTACCACCATCACCACCACCACCATTAACTTCCGCATGCAAAACTTCAAAAAGAATATCCAGACAATGTCAACATTTATATAACAAATATCCACAGTATTAGGTCATTGCAATTCATAAGGAGCCTGAAAACTACAAATTCAATATCAGTCCATGAAGGTTTAAAAAAAAAAAAAATTGATAATTAATGAAACTGCAACATATATGTAGTTTTAATAAATATTCAGAATTTAGAGATAATTTTATATTATTAGAACTCACTTCAAAATTATTTTTTTCTTTAAAGGCAAATTGTTCTGTGTTTTCATTTCTGTAACAATAATATGTTTATTTTTATAACTAGATGGTTGGTGCTAGTTAAAAGATACTGGCAAGATGCAGACAGCACGATGGAAAATTCAGGTGCATCACAAAATGCCTTGAAAAGTTCAAAGAAACAACCAAAAAAAAGGATTGAAAAGCCATCTTACCGAGTTAGATTGGGTACGGCTATCTTCACGTGGGAGAAGGGGAACTTAGAATTATTAAGAAAAACATATGTGCTTGTAGCATGGTGTTGATACCATTGTTGTTTTGTACCTTTATGTCCATTTCAACTCCTGGCCAGTGCATGTGTTACAGAGATAGATAACTCCATAGTGTTGACTTAGCTATAATCTTACTTCTTTTCTTTCTTTCTTTCTTTTTTTTTTTTTTTAACTTAATCACGAGAGTCTTCAATTCTACTTATGCACAAGGGAATAATTTATGCAAGATTGTGACTCAGTGGGGGGTCATCTTAGAGTCACCATACAGTTCTCTCTTTTATTTTTCTTTTATTAATACCCCTTTACAAAAGCAGATCTTCAGGTCTTTTCTTCCAGGGTGGGTTCAAACCACCCAAATTTCATTTACCAGTTGAATTCAAACCATTTGCACTACCCAAGGACATTTACATTGTATTATTGTTGTTAGTGTCATTGAGTCTATTTCAACTCATAGTAATTCAATGCAAAACAGAACTAAACACTGACTGGCCATGCATTATTCTCACTATTGTGGCTACATTTGAGCCCATTGTTTCAGCTATTCATCAGTCCATCTGCTGAGGGTCTTCCTCTTTTTTGCTGACCCTTTGTTTTACCAAGTATCGTGTCCTTCTCCAAGCACTGACTCTTCCTGATGACATGTCCAAAGTTCATGAGAGGAAGTCTTGTCATCTGTACTTCTAAGGAACGTTTGTCTGTACTTCTTCTAAGACAGTTTTGTTTGTCCTTCTGATATTGTTGTTAGGTGCCATTGAGTCAGTAACAACTGATAGCGACCTTATGAGCAACAGAATGAAACATTGCCCAGTCCTAGGCCAACCTAACAAATGTTGCTATGCCTAAACCCATTGTTTCCACCACTGTGTTAATCCATCTTATTGGGGTCTTCCTCTTTTTCTCCAACACTACTTTGCCCAAGATGATATCCTTCTGCAGTGGCTGGTTTGACTGATAATACGTCTAAGATATGAGAAATGAAGTCTGACCATCCTGGCTTCCAAGTTGCACTCTAGCTGTACTTCTTCCAATACATATCTGTTTTCCCTTCTGACAGTCCATGGCACTTTCAATATTCTCCTCCAACACCATAACTCAAATGCATCAAATATTCTATGGTCTTCCTTATTCACTGCACAATTTTCACATGCATTTGAAGTTATTGAAAATGGCATGGCTTAGGTCAGGTGCACTGTAGTCCTCAAACTGACATCTTTGCTCTTCAACACTTCTGATAGTCCATAGTACATTCAATATCCTTTACCAGTATTCATTGTCCAACTTTATCAGGCATATGAGGTAATTGAAAATACCATTGCTTTGGTCTGGTGCAACTTAATCCTAAAAGTAATCATTTTGTTTTTTTAACAATCTAAAGTGATCACTTGCAACAGATTTGTCCAACGCAATCTGTCCTATTTTTTGACTGCTGCTTCCATAGATGTTGGTTGTTGATCCAAGTAAAACGAATTCCTTGACAACTTCAATCTTTTCTCTGTTTATCATGATATTGTTCATTGGTCAAATTGTGAGAACTTTTGTTTTCTCTGTGTTAAAGTGTCATCCATACTGATAGCTATAATCTCTAATCTTTATTAGTAAATGCCTCAAGCCCTCTTAACTTTAAGTAAGCAAGGTTGTGTCTTCCGCATATTGAAAGTTGTTAATGAGCCTTCCTCCAATCCTTATGCCATGTTCTTCTTCATATAATCCAACTTCTTAGATGATTTGTTCAGATTGAATAAACTGAAAAGATACAACCCTGATGCACACCTTTTCTGATATTAAATCACACATTATCCCCCTGTTTGGATCAAATGACTGCTATTGGTCTATGAACAGGTTTCATATGAGCATAATAAAGTTTTCTGGAATAAGCATTTTTTACAATGGTATCCATAATTTGTTATGATCTCTACAATCAAATGTCTTTGCATAGTCAAAAAATACAGGCAAATAGTTCTCTCTCTCTATGTCCTCTGTCATAGACATATATATGTGTGTGTGTGTATGTGTGTGTGTGTGTGTATATATATATATATATATATAGATATATAGATAT